GTCATTTTCAAATCTAAACAAATATGTGATATGAAATATTATTGTATCTTTCAAAACAACTTTTGAAAAAGTTTGTATAAAACATCATTTAATGAAGTAAAATATCTCTTAAACATAAGCACCTTAATATTTACAGTGTCATTTAACTCTTTACCTGGCGACTTTGTGTATCTTACTATATAAAGTGAGCTACCAACATGATAAGACCACCAGGGGTTGACACTAACTTTTAAGCCAGGAATCCCAATGGGACATCTCTTTTTGAATTCAAAAGTCCCTTCTGTAAGTTGGAAGTCCATGATTTTTTTATTTATTTATAAGAATAAAGCAATAACCTTTGCCTATCAGTATTGATACGCAAACTTATTTCTATTGTTCTTTTGTCCTACTTTTTGGGATGTTGATCATAGCCCATCTGTGATAACATTAAGTAATGAAGGAAAGAAATCCGCTATGTTACCTTCCAGCATTATTAAGTTTGGTAATAAAATCATACATGCAGTTGGATTAGTGTTTATAGGTCTTGTAAAATAAGTCCTAAATATTACTGACTACAGTAAATATAATTTATTTCATCTCTTTGTCTGTAGTTATCCATAATATATTCCAGTAATAATTTTATTTGGTATAATATTGCTGTATTAGGTCTACTTGAATAAGTGTAAACTAGTCAAGAGAAAAAAATGAGTTACTGCAAAAAAGCTTTTTTGCTCATAATTCCTTTACATAATGATATCAATTTCATGATTAGAAAGACAAGAACAAATTATTATTGCATTTAAAATAAAATCCCTAAATCGGTAAATAAACAAGAGCTGTCGGTAGGACAGCAACGCTCGACTATTCTTAGTGCTTGATAGTAAAAAAGATGCTTGATACAGTTACCTCCACCTGTTTACAGGTTGGGGTCATGATGGTGAACAAGTGTGCAAAGTTTCAAAGCCATATGTCTATGGACTTTGAAAATATTTGAACTATTACAAAAACTTTAACGTAAATTCTAAGTCGAAAAAGGGGCATAATTCTGTCAAAATGCTTGATAGAGTTACTTTCTCCTGTCTACAGGTTGGGGTCATGATGGTGAACAAGTGTGCAAAGTTTCAGCCCATATGTCTATGGACTTTGAAAATATTTGAACTATTACAAAAACTTTAACGTAAATTCTTAGTCGAAAAAGGGGCATAATTCTGTCAAAATGCTTGATAGAGTTACCTCCTCCTGTCTACAGGTTGGGGTCATGATGGTGAACAAGTGTGCAAAGTTTCAAAGCCATATGTCAATCGACTTTGAAAATATTTGAACTATTACAAAAACTTTAACGTAAATTCTAAGTCGAAAAAGGGGCATAATTCTGTCAAAATACTTTGTAGAGTTACCTTCTCCTGTCTACAGGTTGGGGTCATGATGGTGAACAAGTGTGCAAAGTTTCAAAGCCATATGTCAATGGACTTTGAAAATATTTGAACTATTACAAAAACTTTAACGTAAATTCTAAGTCGAAAAAGGGGCATAATTCTGTCAAAATGCTTGATAGAGTTACCTTCTCCTGTCTACAGGTTGGGGTCATGATGGTGAACAAGTGTGCAAAGTTTCAAAGCCATATGTCAATGGACTTTGAAAATATTTGAACTATTACAAAAACTTTAACATAAGTGGTTACGCCGACGCTCGGGTGACTGCAATAGCTCTACTTATTCTTATCGAATAGTCGAGCTAAAAAAAATAAATAAAAAATAAAAATAAAAACAAGAGGGGGCCATGATGGCCCTGAGGTCGCTCACCTGTATATAGGCCCCCCCCCCCCCCCCCCCCAACGTTGCAGGGCCAATTTTAACCCAAGGGCTTTTATTTGAACAAACTTGGTAGACACCCATAAGAAGATGTTTCATGCTAAACATCTAAGCTCTAGCTCATTGGGCTTTTTAAGATTTTTTTAAAGTTTTTACTATACACATAGAATTAAAAACAATGACACCCCTGGGGCCGGGCCAGTTTTGACCCCAGGGCTTTTATTTGAACAAACTTTGTAGACACTTACTAGAAGATTTTTCATGCTTAATATCTAAACTCTAGCTATTTGGGTTTTTTCAAAGAAGATTTTAAGTTTTTGCTATACACATATAAAGAAAATCAATGACCCCCGGGGCGGGGCCAATTTTGACCCCAGGTCTTCTATTTGAACAAACTTTGTAGACACTCACTAAAAGATGTTTCATGCTTAATATCTTAACTCTAGCTATTTGGGTTTTTTCAAAGAAGATTATTTAAGTTTTTGCTATACACATATAAGGAAAATCAATGACCCCCGGGGCGGTGCCAATTTTGACCCCAGGGCTTTTATTTGAACAAACTTGGTAGACATCTATTAGAACATGTTTGATGCTAAATATCTTAGCCATAGCTCTTTGAGTTCTTTAAAAGAAGATTTTTTAAGTTTTTACTATATGCATATAGGGAAAATCAATGACCCCCCGGGGCGGGGCCAATTTTGACCCCAGGGCTTTTATTTGAACAAACTTGGTAGACACCCATAAGAACATGTTTCATGCTAAATATCTTATTTCTAACTCTTTGGGTTCTTTAAATGAAGATTTTTTAAGTTTTTACTATATGCATATAGGGAAAATCAATGACCCCCTTGGGCGGGGCCAATTTTGACCCCAGGGCTTTTATTTGAACAAACTTGGTAGACACCTATTAGAACATGTTTGATGCTCAATATCTTAGCCATAGCTCTTTGAGTTCTTTAAAAGAAGTTTTTTAAGTTTTTAATATATGCATATAGGGAAAATCAATGACCCCCCGGGGCGGAGCCAATTTTGACCCCAGGGCTTTTATTTGAACAATCTTGGTAGACACCCATTAGAAGATGTTTCATGCCAAATATCTAAGCTCTAGCTCTTATGGTTTTTTAAAAGAAGATATTTAAAGTTTTTTCTTTCGGTTGCCATGGCAACCAGAGTTCTGCATGGAATTAAATTCTTTGAACAATTTTTAAAGGTGACCACCAAAGGAACATTCCTGTGAAGTTTGGATGAAATTGGCTTAGTGGTTTATGAGGAGATGTCGTTTAAAGTAAAAGTTTACGGACGGACGCCGGACGCCGGACGAAAAGCGATCACAAAAGCTCACCCTGTCACTTTGTGACAGGTGAGCTAAAAATCACGTATCCAAATTTGTTTATCGAAATCTAATACACTATTGATTATGTAATTGCCAACTTTTTTCACAATGTAAGTGTTCTTACACCATAGTAAACATCAAATATTAAACAATAAACTATATTAAACAAGAGCCCGGTTTGAGCCGGGTGATGCTCCCCGAATAGGTTTTGGACACAGGAAAGTACACCTCTTGTAGTTTCAAAGTTATGTCCCTGGAAAAAGTTCAAAATGCAATAATTCCTAAATCAGGCAAGGCAGAGTAACTGTCCTTTGCACTGCACTTCTAATCAATGTGATCTATCAACCTACAAAGTTTCTTGATGATATCTCTTATGATTTCCGAGTTATGTCCCTGACAACTTTAAAAAGTAAAAATAAACAAAGGGCAATAACTCCAAAATTAGGCAAGGCAGAGTTATGATTCTTGTGCCCTGCCATCTACCCATTGACATATATTTACCTACAAAGTTTCATGCTGATATCTCTTATAGTTTTACAGCTATGTCCTGGACAAGATTTTTCTAAAAGGGGAGATAATTAAAAAATGAGGCTTAACAGAGTTATGGTTCTTTTGCACTGCACCTCTACTCAATGAGATCTATATACCTACAATGTTTCATCTTGATATCTCTTATAGTTTTAGAGTTATGTTCCGGACAAAGTTCAAAGTGTTAAAATTAACAAAGGGCAATAACTCCAAAATTAGGACAAAAAGAGTTATTGTTCTTATGCACTGCACATCTACCCATTCACCTACAAAGTTTCATGTTGATATCTCATATACTTTTAGAGTTATGCCCCGGACAATATTTTTCTATAAGGGGAGATAATTCAAAAACTGGACAAAATAGAGTTATGGTTCTTTGACACTGCACTCCCTCTCAATGCCCTCTACCACTGTATGAAGTTTCAACAAATTATCTCCAAGGGTTTTCAAGTTATGCTCCGGACAAGACAACGGATGGACAGACAGACGGACGGACAGACGGACGGACGTTCCTACGAATGGTCATTTATTGGGTACTTCTTTTGTTTAAAGGTACCCAACAAGAGAACATAAGTACCCAACAATACTGACGGAATTAATAGAATTACCCAACAAGTATCCACTCGTTTGCCCGGACGGACGGACGGACAAGGCGCCGACTATATGCTCCCTTGAAATTTTTCGGGGAGCATAACAAATCATTTTTACAATGGTGGTTAAAAATACAGCAAAATTTCGGCAAATACTGACATTGGAATGTTTGGTATGTGGAGAATTTTCGTGTTTTGTTAACAATGTTTTATTTCCAGTTAATTTTTTGAAAGTTTATCATGTTTAATAAATACTTTTTTTGCAAGAATACCATCTTAAACGAATGCTTTAAAGTTGATTTATGATCAATTTTAATTGTTTAGTATATTTTTCAAATTAAAAATTTAAAGTCCCAACATCTGACTTGGAATTTTAGAAATCCCTTGCCAATTTTTGGAGTCCTCGGGACCCCGGGACTGCGTTACTGTCTTACACTGACCACATAAATATTTCTCTTCCAGCAGGTTAAAATTTCTCTTCTTTTCCAATTTTTCAACTAGACATCTTGTTGAATTTCCCCAAATCATATTTCTACTTTGGATATTAACTATGACCTTGAGTTAGAGACTTGATTCTTGATTCATTTCAAATTCCATTCACGAATGACAAATGTGTTGACTGTCAAAGAGTATCAATGCACTTTTTATATGAAAAAATCATGTCACAACTTCTGACATGACATTGTGCCCTTCATCTTTGGGCTTGAGACACAATTCTTGCTAGCAACAAATTGTCATCCTCTCAAACACAATTACAGTAGAAACCCTCCTTACGACCACCCCGGATTTAAGACCAACCCGCTAATACGACCGATTTTTTTCAGTCCCGAATTTTTTGTTCTTTATTTTAATGGTCGTTTGATTCACATTTAAGACCACCCCGGTTATCCACTTTTACGACCACCAAATTCAGTCCCAATGGTCATTTATAGTTTAATTTCAACCCTGTAATTACGACCGATAAAAAAAACATCTACGAGCCTCTTTCAGCTGCGAGCCTTCCCGCGAGGTGTACTAGATTTTGACACGTGTTTGCAACATACACAAACCGATTTGCGGTATCCGCTAATTTATGCAAACGTGTGAAAAACTTCTGCTAAATGTTGTTAATTGTTAAACAAACAAAACTGGATTAAAGGGCTGATTAAAGGTATGATTATTCAATTAACTTTCTCAAGACTATAAAATTGTTTATATGCACGTTTGAATTAGCCGCTTCGCTTTATTACTATTTTATTGTTTGTAGCGGTATTCGGATGTGCAACAATGTACGAATAGTTGATCATGTAATTTTTTAATTACGCATCTTTTTATACGTCTATCCAATGAGCGATTGAGAAGAGTAAAATAGAGTAAATAGTAACTTTCCTGCACATATTTTGTTGGTTTATTTGGTCATATTTGATTGTAAATTTGAACGATCACTTTAGTAAACAAAATCATAATTATACTGTTATAGCTGTGTCTGTCTGTAGAAATTATTTGTAAGCCTAAAACAATGGGCAAACGAAAAGAATTAAGCTTGAAAGAGAAAGTACAGTTGATTAAACAAAGTGATGGCAAAAGTCAACGTCAGTTGGCTGAGCACTTTGGTGTCGGAAAAACTCAGGTAAAAACAAAACAAATTATTGTCGGAAGAAAAAAAATCAAATTTGCAAGTTTTCATCACAATTAGAAACTGTGATACTTTAACCGTTTAAATTCTTAAGAAAAACGAAATTCAAAAAATGTTAAAGTAAACATACAAAGTTAAAAAAATCTTGATTATGATTTTAAATGTGTTCATTTTGTAATTACAGGTCCAGGGTATTCTGAAACGTAAGGCAGAGATTATGGAAGGGTATGAGTCAAATCAAAATGTAGACAGAAAACGCATATGTCAACGTTCGCCAATGGAGGAAGTAAACACACTTATGTGGCAGTGGTTCCAAACTGCTCGTTCACAAGGTATACCAGTGTCTGGTCCCATGCTACAGGAGAAAGCACTTGTGTATGCTAAAGACCTAGGGTTATCAGATGATGATTTTAAGGCATCAAACGGATGGTTATCAAGGTTTAGACAACGCCATAATATAAACTTTGCGTCAGTGTGTGGGGAAAGTGGTAGTGTACCTCAGGAAAAAGTAGATGACTGGATTCAGAGGTTGCCAGACATAGTTTCTGGTTACAGGTCATGTGACATTTATAACATGGATGAAACTGGACTTTTCTTTCGTGCACTTCCAGATAAGTCTTTAAACATGCGCGGCGATCAATGTAAAGGTGGGAAAAAATCAAAAGATCGCATAACAGTCATGCTCTGTGTGAACATGGAAGGGACATTTGAAAAACCACTAGTGATAGGGAAATCAGCTAAACCAAGGTGCTTTAAAAACATAAACACAAAGAACTTACCTGTAGATTGGAGATACAACAAGAAAGCATGGATGACTAGTGGACTATTTACTGACTGGGTGAAGGATTTTAATGCTAGAATGAAACGTGCTGGGCGCAGTGTTTTGTTATTGTTAGATAATGCTCCATCTCATCCTCATGACTTGAAACTATCAAATGTGAAACTTGTGTACCTTCCAGCCAACACTACATCAAAGCTTCAGCCTCTTGACCAGGGCATTATTCAAAACATGAAACAGATCTACAGGAAGAGATTGCTAAGATCAGTGCTTGCTAAAATTGACAATGGATCTACTGTGAGTGCTGATGAACTTTCTAAGAGTTTGACTGTCTTAGATGCCATTCAATGGACTAGTTGTGCGGTAAAAGAAATAAAGCCAGAGACTGTCACTAAGTGTTTTAAGGCCTGTGGACTGACTGTCGGTGAAAGTGTGGATGTGGAAGATGATGACGATGATGACAATGTGCCTATTGCGGAATTAGTAGAATTGATGAGAACCGCTCAGTCAAAAATATCTGTTGAATCTGTGATGACGCCAGAGGATTACATTAACATTGACAATGAATTGATAGCAAATGATGATATCAGTGAGAACTGGGAGAACGAGCTTATTGAAGCTCATAAATCTACAGGATCTATAGATGTAGATAACGATGAGTGTACTGATGACTTAGAACCTGGTACTGAGTGTTTAATCAATTCCCACCAGGATGCCCTTAAGTGGATTGAACAGCTCAAGTTGTACTGTTTCAAAAAGGACTTAATGACTATGTTGCCAGCATTTGACCAAGCACAAGAGGACTTTGAAAAACTGTCAGTTAATGTTATGTGTGGATCAAAACAGTCAACTTTGGATAGGTTTCTTGTAAAGTAAAAATTTAAAAAAAAACCTGCAAGAAGAATATGATCGACTTTTGACAACATCTGATAAACATGAGTTGGCTTGTGACATTATTAGAGAAACATTGAAGAACAATCTAAATGCTAATGGCTATTTTAGTGCACTTAATTTATGTACATGTACATGTATGTTGAGATTTTCATAGTTAAATGTTTTATAAATAAATGAAGAATAAAAAACATTGCACATTATTTTATGACAAATGATTGATTTATTGCAATAAAGTTATGTAAAATGAAAATTTTATTTACTTTATCAAATCCTGAAGTATTTCCCTCAAATGGGACAGGAAGTATATTTACCTTGTAGATCTACAGTAAGGAAAGAATTCAAACAAATAACCAGGCTATCATGCTAAAACTCACTAATCAGACCACCCCGCAATTAAGACCACTTTAGAGCAGTCCCATGGGTGGTCTTAATTGAGGGGTTTCACTGTATACAAAGTTATTTTAAAATCCATAAAGGAATAGCAAATTTGTTGAGTGCTCACATAATCATCTGTGCAATTTAATTTAAAATGTCTATAAAGTCTAAATGGAATGTTTATAGACAGCTCTATGTTTATAAATTATGTTAAAAGACTGACACATAAAATGCATAACATTGTGAAAAGATACACTTCAGGACACAGCAACAACAGATAATTGACAGAAGTACTGACAAAATTGAATTAAATAATTGATATATTTTGCACCAATAATTAATTTTCTATTAATTGCATCAATATATTATTTAGTCTTAATTAATGTTAATTACATTACATCATACTGACATAAAATGTAAAGAAATTCCCTATCTATTATCTATCATTTGACCATTCTTTCAAATATGACTATCCATGTTAGACTACTTATACTGAGCAAAAATTGAAACTTTTTTTGCAATTTTGCTACTCATTAGATCTTAAATCTTATGTTAGCAACATTTTGCACTCCTTTTCCTTCTTTGCTTTGGACATCAGGAGCTGTGTCAGCATTGCCAATTTTATCAGGCCTTGTAGAATTGTTTCTTCTAAACAATGATAATATGTTTGTCCTTAAACATACACAGACGATGGCACTTATTGCCATAAAAATAGCGACACCCTACAATCTTACTTATATCTGCATCAGGAGAGTTAGTAGTGGAAAATTTAGTTGATGAAGGTATGGTAGTAGTTGCTGTGTTAGTAACTGTTATATTGGTAGAGCTCGATGCTAGGGTGGTAGATGTGGTACCTGAAATTTACACAGTTACCAGGCATTTAATTCACTGGCAGAAATTATTGTAAAATGTAACAAGAGCCACTGCCGGGCGGGGGCAACGCTCGACTTTTTACTTTTTCTAAACGCAAACATAGAAAGGTTTGAACATATCTTAACGTTTACTTTTTATAAATTTAGTTGGTCTGTCTTGTCACAATAGTTTTGTTTATCTATTTTGTATATATATATGAATAGAAACACGCAATTCTATTAATAGAAACACCTAATTCTATAAAAAGAAACACCTAATTCTAAAAATAGAAACACGCAATTCTAAAAATAGAAACACGCAATTCTATAAATAGAAACACGCAATTCTATAAATAGAAACACGCAATTTCTAAAAATAGTAACACGCAATTTCTAAAAATAGTAACACGCAATTTCTAAAAATAGTAACACGCAATTTCTAAAAATAGAAACACGCAATTTCTAAAAATTGAAACACGCAATTTCTAAAAATAGAAACACGCAATTCCTATAAATAAAAACACGCAATTCCTATAAATAGAAACTAAAATTCTATAAATAGAAACATGCAATTCTATAAATAGAAACACGCAATTCTATAAATAGAAACACGCAATTCTATAAATAGAAACACGCAATTCTATAAGTTGTTGTTGTTGTTTGTTGTTGTTGTTGATGATGATGATATTAGATAATGATGATGATGATGATAGATATGTGTATATATATATATATACACACACCAATAAATATATAATTATGGTCATTTAATGCACAAATCTGAGAAAAATTCAGTAATTTAACCTTCAAGGTCAAGGTCATTAAAGAGCCCAAGCAAATTTGGGTTTGATAAACAACAAGGTTTTTCAAAAAAAAAAAAGTCGAGCTAATAAAAAACATCAAAGGGCCATCATTCTAACCTGAATGAAAATTGTTTCATACTCAAGTAAACAAACAAGAGCCATCGCCGAGCGGGCGCAACGCTCGACTTTTTACTTTTTCTAAAAACAAACAAAGAAATGTTTGAACAAATCTTAACGTTTCCTTTTTATAAATTTAATCGGTCTGTCTTGTCAGATTAGTTTTGTCAAAGTATGAATCCTTTCCATATAATATTATATCCACATGTATATCATATATATACACACATGGATATACAGTCAAACTTGTATTAAGCGACCGCGCAAGGGAAACACCAAAAACGGTCGCTCAATGAAACGGTCTCTTAAGACATTAAGCATGACATAAAAGTCAAAATTTTACAAATGGCATCTTTCAAATGCGGTGGGAATGTTTAACAACTTCATTTTTATATAAATGTTGAATAATTAGTTCGTTTGATAATCTAAAATATAATGGATGACAATGTAAAACAAGAGGGCCATGATGGCCCTAGATCGCTCACCTGACTCATCAAACTCATCCAAACAATTACTTAGACAAGCATTCTGACCAAGTCTCATGACAGGTGAGTCAAAAATGTGACGACTACAGTGTAAACAAGGATTATCCATATTTGAGCAGTGTGACCTAGTAGTTTTTTACCCAAGTGACCCATGTTCAAACTTGACTTAGAAATCATCAAAACAAACTTTCAGACCAATTTACAGGATATTTGGATCACAACAGTAGCCACTAGAGTGTTAACAAGGTTTTTCTATTTTTAGCTCCTGTGACCTAGCTTTTCATCCCAGATGACCCATGTTCGATTTAATCCCAGCAATGACCTAGACAAAGTTTCCTGACCAAGTTTGATGACAATTGAGTCAAAATTGTGACCACTAGAGTGTTAACAAGGTTTTTCTATTTTTAGCTCCTGTGACCTAGTTTTTCATCCGAGATGACCCATGTTCGAACTCATACGAGCAAGTACCTAGACAAGCATCCTGATAAAGTTTGATGACACTTATGTCAAAAATGTGACCGCTAGAGTGTTAACAAGATTTTTCTATTTTAAGATCCTGTGACCTAGTTTTTCATCCAAGATGACCCATGCTCGAACTTATGCTCGAACTTATCCAAGCTATCACCTAGACAAGCATCCTGACGAAGTTTGATGATGATTGAGGCAAAAATTTGACCGCTAGAGTGTTAACAAGGTTTTTCTATTTTAGCTCCGGTGACCTACTTTTTCAACCCAGATGACCCATGTTCAAACTCATCCGAGCTATCACCTAGACAAGCATCCTGACCAAGTTTGATGGTGATTGAGGCAAAAATGTGACTGCTAGAGCGTTAATAAAAAAAGGTTTTTCTATTTTTAGCTCCGGTGACCTAGTTTTTCATCCAGGATGACCCATGTTCGAACTCATCCAAGCCACCACCTAGACAAGCATCCTGACAAAGTTTGATGATGATTGATGCAAAAATGTGACCGCTGGAGTGTTAACAAGGTTTTTCTACTTTTAGCTCCGGTGACCTACTTTTCCATCAGAGATGAGCCATGTTTGAACTCATCCGAGCTATCACCTAGACAAACATCCTGACCAAGTTTGATGATGATTGAGGCAAAATTGTGACCTCTAGAGTGTTAACAAGGTTTTTCTATTTTTAGCACTTGTGACCTAGTTTTTCATCCGAGATGACCCATGTTCGAACTCATCATCTGAGCTATCAACTAGATAAGCGTCCTGACCATGTTTGATGATGATTGATGCAAAAATATGACCGCTGGAGTGTTAACAAGGTTTTTCTATTTTTAGCTACGGTGACCTAGTTTTTCATCCGAGATGACCCATGTTCGAACTCATCTGAGCTATCACCTAGACAAGCATCCTGACCAAGTTTGATGATGATTGATGCAAAAATGTGACTGCTGGAGTGTTAACAAGGTTTTTCTATTTTTAGCTCCGGTGACCTAGTTTTTCATCCGAGATGACCCATGTTCGAACTTATCAGAGCTATAACCTAGACAAACATCCTGACCAAGTTTGATGATGATTGAGGCAAAAATGTGACCTCTAGAGTGTTAACAACTAAATGTGAACGGACGACGGACGACAGACGGCGGACAATCATCGATCCTAAAAGCTCACCCTGAGCATGCTCAGGTGAGCTAAAAAACAAAACTTTCTGTTATTTATTGACAAAACAGTTTTGATCCATTACGTACATGTTTGACATTTTTTCCAGAATTTTTTAACTTTTCCGTTGTTTTTCCTTGTCTCCAACACGAAAACCCTATTAGTGAAGATGCTTTTCTGTTGTGCATTTTTCATTTGAAATAAACATACTACATCTAATTTAATTGCTGATCAAGTTCAAGGTCAATTCAATGCAGTCTAAATGTCAACAAGCGAAGCGTATACACCACATCAGTAGGGGCGGAGCGTTGCATTGTTTAATCGATATTATTGGATAATACACGTTACGCGTATACTTAACTTCATTTGCTTACGCTAAAATGTTTTGGGAAATAGAGTTTTTCAGACATTTATTTGTTATGTTTTGATTGTTGACATTTGTGACATTACGAGACGGCGTTCTCTAAAAACACAATTACTTGACAGGTAAAAGTGGTCGTTTAATGAAAAGATTGTTCACAATTAGGTGACTAATTAGCGGTCGCTGGTCGCGTTAAGCAAGTCGCTTAATACATCAAAAATATAGAGAGAAAATGATCGGGGGGAATTTAAAGTGGTCATTTAAGACAAAGTTGCTTAATACACGTGTTTGCATGGGCAAGTTAGACTGTATAGTTCTCTGGTCCCAATCAGTGAAGAAGACAATAAAAATGTCATCGTTGATTTGTGAGACGTTTTAACAGAGAACAAACTCTACATATGCGAATGCTGAGCCTGTTTCAATGTGTAGTGCAGTTTGTGACTGTATATAAAGCTGCTCTGAAACCATCATTTTTTGTGATGGTGGATGAGCAGTGGCTATGCTTTCATGACTGTTCTGCTAGGCGCTGTGCCGTAATTGGACTGGCATATCGATGTGGTGGTATGTTTGTATATATTCTCTCATTATATATATATATATATATATATATATATATATATATATATATATATATATATATATCTATGTATATCTATGTATATGTATATATATGTATATATATATATATATACAGTTTGACTCTCGGTAACTCGAAATCCAAGGGACTAGGCATTTTACTTCGAGAGAAACGGAATTCAAGTAACATGGAACTACCACCATTACGTTGACATTCGTACATGTATATACACGTGCCTGATTGAATGTGCAAAGAAGTAGGTTTGTTATTGTTGTTAGCGGCAATGCTGCAATATTTAACCATTACAATGATGGTAAATCAGTTACAACAAGCAAATTCGTTGAATTTATATCCCCCACCAAGTACTGGTTATTACTAACACAACAACTGAAGACATAAGGCTTTATTTATATATTTATCATGGCATAAACAGTAATATTCTTTGAACTTGATAAATATTCAGGGCAATAACAGAGCCATAACTCTGTGTTAAATAGTAATATCTGGAAATGCCAATAAGATGTATGCATACTGCATAACTAATCAAGGGCCATAAATCTGAGTTATATGTGTCTGGTTCGAATAAAAGCCCTGGGGTCAAAATTGACCCCGCACCAGGGGGTCATAGATTTTCCCTATATGCATATAGTAAAAACTTAAAAAAATCTTCTTTTAAAGAACCCAAAGAGCTAGAGCTAAGATATTTAGCATGAAACATCTTCTAATGAGTGTCCATAAAGTTTGTTCAAATAAAAGCCCTGGGGTCAAAATTGGCAAACTTGGTAGACATTCACTAGAAGATGTTTCATGCCAAATATCTAAGCTCTAGCTCTTATGGTTCTTTAAAAGAAGATTTTTTAAGTTTTTACTATATGCATATAGGGAAAATCAATGACCCCCCGGGGTGGGGCCAATTTTGACCACAGGGCTTTAATTTGAACAAACTTGGTAGACACTCACTAGAAGATGTTTCATGCTTAATATCTTAGCTCTAGCTCTTTGGGTTCTTTAAAAGAAGATTTTTTAAGTTTTTACTATATGCATATAGAGAAAATCAATGACCCCCTGGGGCGGGGCCAATTTTGACCCCCAGGGCTTTTATTTGAACAAACTTGGTAGACACTCATTAGAAGATGTTTCATGCTAAATATCTTAGCTCTAGCTCTTTGGGTTCTTTAAAAGAAGATATTTTAAGTTTTTACTATATGCATATAGGGAAAATCTATGACCCCCTGGGGCGGGGTCAATTTTGACCCCAGGGCTTTTATTTGAACAAACTTAGTAGACATTCACTAGAAGATGTTTCATGCCAAATATCTAAGCTCTAGCTCTTATGGTTCTTTAAAAGAAGATTTTTTAAGTTTTTACTATATGCATATAGGGAAAATCAATGACCCCCGGGGCGGGGCCAATTTTGACCACAGGGCTTTAATTTGAACAAACTTGGTAGACACTCACTAGAAGATGTTTCATGCTTAATATCTTAGCTCTAGCTCTTTGGGTTCCTTAAAAGAAGATTTTTTAAGTTTTTACTATATGCATATAGGGAAAATCAATGACCCCCTGGGGCGGGGCCAATTTTGACCCCAGGGCTTTTATTTGAACAAACTTGGTAGACATTCACTAGAAGATGTTTCATGCTTAATATCTAAGCTCTAGCTCTTATGGTTCTTTAAAAGAAGATATTTTAAGTTTTTACTATATGCATATAGGGAAAAGCAATGACCCCCCGGGGCGGGGCCAATATTGACCCCAGGGCTTTTATTTGAACAAACTTGGTAGACACTCACTAGAAGATATTTCATGCCAAATATCTTAGCTCTAGCTCTTTGGGTTCTTTAAAAGAAGATTTTTTAAGTTTTTACTATATGCATATAGGGAAAATCAATGACCCCCTGGTGCGGGGCCAATTTTGACCCCAGGGATTTTATTTGAACAAACTTGGTTGACACTCACTAGAAGATGTTTCATGCCAAATATCTAAGCTCTAGCTCTTAGGGTTGTTTAAAAGAAGATATTTAAAGATTTTTCTTTCGGTTGCCATGGCAACCAGAGTTCTGCATGGAATTAAATTTTTTGAACAATTTTTAAAGGTGACCACCAAAGGAACATTCCTGTGAAGTTTGGATGAAATTGGCTCAGTGGTTTATGAGGAGATGTCATTTAAAGCAAAAGTTTACGGACGGACGACGGACGGACGACGGACGGACGACGGACGGACGGACGCCGGACGAAAAGCGATCACAAAAGCTCACCCTGTCACTTTGTGACAGGTGAGCTAAAAATAGGAGTGGCAGGTGTCATAAAATTATGCTAAAAAAATTGCTATGTTATATAAATCTGCATATCATGACACTTAAATTGCTAATTGCAGTAAATAATCGGCAGTAACAGTTACTGTGTGTCACCAGTTCAGTTTGAATTACCCCTGGAGGCGAGGATTAAATTTATTGCATGCCCTGTGTGATATGTACATGCGGAAAATAAAAAAGCGCGGCGAAGTCAATTTCGCTTTGATGTTCAAACTCGGCGAAGTTCAGAAACTTTAGGCGACTAAGTCGCCCAAATTGCCCAGTTGTTAGAGCCCTGATGTATTACAGAACATTGTTCAAATTGTGATCATTTCATTGTTTGTGAAAACATTATCATAGAGCCCAATTATTGGTTACCAAGTCTTGCGAACATTACCATGACAATATAGGAAGATTAAAGGAGTCTGGCAGTACCAAAGCTGGAGTGAAACAATATTTCCGGATGCAGAAATGTTTCATGTGTTGCATAAGTGTCTCCCAGTGTAACTGTTTATTTCAACAACATCAATTATTTCATTTCCTTACCTTCAATAGAGATTGTAGCTGTTCCAGTTACTGTTGCGTGTCCTGAAAGTAATGAATAAGACACTTCACAGTAATATATGCCTGCATTATCCATTGTTACCGATGTCAATTTGATTTCTCCATTACTAACATGTTCAATATTAAAGTTATTGAAAACTACAGCAGCATTAGTTCCAGTTTTAGACATGACTGTTGTAGGTGTAGCCGTGGTTTTATGGGACCAAAAAACTGAACTCATGTCTGCTTCATTATCAAAACTCCATGGAATTGTCAAGTCAGTACCAACAGTAGCCGTATATGTTTTATCCACAGGTGATATTGCTGCTTCTGAAAAAAAAATTATGTTTATACAACAGATAATAGTCCAATTTTATCAGGATGAATAAGTATAACTAATTTTTCAACTTTTCTCTATTTTAAGTAAATTTGTTGGAACAAATCTTTAAAAGTGATCTCAGGAGGAGTTTAAGGAGGAGATAATTCTGGAAATATGGATCTAGATTTATAAACCTTGTCATATTATAATGATGTAAATCCTATAAAGATGAGGAATTTGGAATAAATAATACCAATTTCTCGAAAAAAATCAAGTTCAAGGGGGACATAATTCTAGAAATAGTCTTGCTAGAGTATTTAACCTTCTCACAAATGTTGAGTGATAATAAGAAACATATATATGAAGTTTGAAGTAGATAAATTAAGAAATAAAGAAGTTATTTAAAAAAGGCATTTTTTTCATAAAAATTCTAAGTTCAAGGGAGGTAATTCTGATAATTTTTGTGCTAGAGTTGTAAACCTTGTCACATATGATGTGGTTGATGACCAGAAACTTATATATAAAGTTTGAAGTAAACACCTTAAGAAATAAAGAACTAATAGTGAAAAAGCGTAAAAATTCAAATCAGAAATCTTGAAAATCATTCTATTTGTTGCCATAGCAACCAGAATTTTCAACATAGGAAGAAAAGAAAAAGATATGCATAATTTCCAGACTGTCATCTACCCATATTTCAAGTTTCATAAAAATATTTTCAGTACTTTTTGAGTTATCACTGAATCCAGTTTATGTGTAAAATTTGCCTTTTCAGTCTATTTGTTGCCATAGCAACCAGAATTTTCAACATAGGAAAAAAAGAAAAAGATGTGCATAATCTCCTTACTGCCATTTATCCATATATCAAGTTTCATAAAAATATTTTCAGTACTTTTTGCGTTATCTCGGGATCCAGTTTTGTGGAAGGACGGACTGACGGACAGAGGGTAAACCTAAAGTCCCCTCCGGTTTAACCGGTAGGAGACTAATATATAAGCTCTAGCTGTAAGAATTTTTTTAAGTTTTTACTATACATATATAGGGGAAAAAAACAATGCCCCCCTACCTCCCCCACTGGGCTGGGCCAATTTTGTCCCCAGAGCTTTTATTAGTCAATCACTAGAAGATAGTTCATGCTGAATATCTAAACTCGAGCTCTTTGGTTTTTTTATAAAAAAAATTTTTAAGTTTTACTATATACATATAAGGAAAATCAATGATCCCAGGAGCGGGGCCAATTTCAACCCCAGGGCCCTTATTTGAACAAAAATGGTAGACAACAATTAGAAGATGTTTCATGGCAAATATCTTAGCTCTAGCACTAAGGGTTTTTTAAAAGAAGATTTTTTAAGTTTTTACTTAATACATAAAGGAAAAAAATGACCCCCTGGGGCGGGGCCAATTTTGACTACAGGGCTTTTATTTGAACAAACTTAGTAGACACCCACTAGAAGATGTTTCATGATTTATATCTTAGCTCTAGCTATTTGGGCTTTTTAAAAGAAGATTTTTTAAGTTTTTACTATATACATATTAGGAAAATAAATTATCCCAGGGCAGGGACAATTTTGACCCCAGGGCCCTTATTTGAACACAAGAGCGATCAGTAATCACATGTGTCGCCTCATGATGGCCAATTTCATGTTGGGACAAATTTTGTGACAGACAGACGGACAGACAGACGGACAGTGCACAACTAGACTTGGTACTGATCATTCCTGTAAAGTTTGGATAAAATTGCACCAGTAGTTTATGAGGAGTAGTCCGGACAAGCTTTTGCGTATCTGGCAACACACAGAAAATCAAAGTGCTGAAAGCACTGGGTGCGACAGACATGAAAAGGGAATTGCATAAATGCTGTCAAAAAAGGACTAAGTTTTTTTTTATTATTTACAAAGGGCAGCAAAATTCTATGCCTGAGTTTTATGGAGCTTGGATAGAAGCTTCCAATTATGACTAAAGACATGTAAAGGTTTCATATGAATATCTTCTGTTTTCTTTTGAAAACTGATGTTATATGTTTAAATGAATACCACAAGTATATATTTGTTGTCCTAAAGATTGATTTTCTTGCAAAATTTTAAATTAAGATTTTTTTAACCTAAAAAATGACTATTACTCTGTTAAAATGTTAGATTCATGGGGTTCAGAGAGTAACCTTCATTTATAATCCTGAAAACATAATTATACAATAAAATAGAAAGAAATAAGCAAGATTAATTTGTTTCAAAATTTTTAATTTGTTCTGTCAAAAAACTATGCTAGAGTTATTGGCTTTGCAAATTTTATTACGGACGATCTCAAAAATATTTGTGAAGTTACAAGTAAATAGTTTAATTGTTTATGAAGTTCTATGCTTTATAAGCTGAACGTTGCCCCAAAACCTGTAACCAAAGTGGTATGCCAACGCGGACACTCATGACACCAAGATGAGAAGGATAGAAGGACAGTTGAGCTAATGTTTCCATCAGGCTCCAGTCTTTTTTTTCATATACAAGTGACATGAGACCTTGCAATATTTTAAATTTTATTTGTTCCGTGTTTGGTAACACAGAAAATTAATAAGGAAGTAATATTTTCCTCAAGAGTCAGGGCATTTATAACAGTGCACACATATTATGCAGAGTATGAAATAGGTCAAGATTTGTGAAGGGAGAGAATATCATTCGAATAGACTTACTCTGTTATTACAGGGCCGGGCCATAAGAATTCGTAGGGGGGGGGTATGTTTGAAATGACCAAACTCCCCCTTTTGATGAGGGAGGGTCTGGCGGTTCTCCCAGGAAAAAAAATGAAATTCATATGATACCTTATGGCTTTTGGTGCATTTTATTTGCACATTTTGAAACTGAAGTGTCTACATATTTTTCACAAAAATGATTTTTCTGCAAAACTGGGAGAAAAAAACTTCTACATGTATGGGAAAGCTATGATTTTTAATGAATTTTCCAGAGGGTAAGATATGCTTTACATTAACCATAAAAAGCGTGCTTTATGATTAAAATAATTTAAATTTACATCACTTGCGCTTCAGTATTAAAAAATGTTGCTGAACACGTATATATACGAAAAAATCATCATCACATTCAATATTCAATAGGGGGCTATTTATAGTTCAAAAGTAAATGTATTTAGATGTACTATGAATAAGTTTCTCTATCAAGGCGCTTAAACTGCATCTACACTGACCAAGAGAACTAATAAGTGTCTGCATGTATGTATTTAGTCTTAGCCATAGTATTTAGTCTCGACTAATTGTAAAATGGACAGGAAACTCAGCTGGGGTCCAGGTTCAAATAAAAAGGACTTAGATTAATATCATATTTTACTCTCAATGCGCTTTGTCTTTTTATAGGTAAACAATTCAGGCCAGGGTGTCTGGGAAGGGGGCTCCAGCCCTTCAGTTCCCTGCCGTGTACCCGTGCCTGATATTATCACATAAGTCTATTTAATATGGAAAAATATCACAAATAAATGGTCAGTTCAATTTTAACTTTCCATAAAAATGTTCAATTTGAGACACATCTTAGTCTTATAGCTGAACCGTACTTTAATATCTTGGTTACAAACTTGTACGTATCGTATTTGTCTAGAATATATTAGATTGAGGTCCAGTATGACTTATTTCATGATGCTGGAGAAAACATACTTGTGTCGATTCTTTTCTTTCGCTAATAAAGTTTCTTTTTAATGTCAGTCTACGATTTAAAATAATAAAAAATAAACAATTTTCGATTTCAATGTTTTAATAATTTGTATGGGTCGTATTTCTATAGTTAATAAATAATAGTTCGCTGAATAAATGGTTTATGCATGTTATAAAGAAGTGTGCCACCCGTGAAAAAAGAACTGTCTTTGAAACCAAATCTCAGGAAAATGTACAACGACTGTTTTGTCTTACTGCCTGGATAATTGTTCTCTTTCATGTTTTTTTTTTCAGAATTTATATTTTTCGCCAATCTCTACTGTTTACATTAATATATTCACTTATTCGAAAACCTAGAAATAACTCTATTTATAATGGAAGATGCCACTACTACGACTGTTTTAATTTTATTGATTTTCATTATAAACAATATATTTTTTGAAAAATTTGCAATAGATATAAAAGAAATATTGATAATTTTCAAACACATCAATTATTTTCACCTTAAACGGTAAAGTAATGATAGAAAAATAGAAATATCATGTTATTGTGTTATGTTCATCGATTAGTGTAAATTTCCCGCAGCTAAATCCGTAACGTGCCGGAATCCGGTGTTTAGCTAGGTTTTCCGAAAGTAAAGGGATATAACTCGGTCGTAACATTTACCGTAGTACGTACTTCTACACAGTATACACTACTTTTAGTTGCTTTAACACATGCGTAATCGTATAATTTACACATTTTTTGCAAATGAAGGAAATTAATATCTAAACACATTTTACATGAAAATACTGCAGTTTGATGCTTGATCTGATCGTCGATAAACTAGGTCAGATTAATGGGAAAAAGACACTTAATCCCCCGGACAATTCAAGCCACACCCACCCCTCAAGATACTTCAATATTGAATATTTTTATCGTTTCTAACATTAATTATCGTTCAACAGAAAAAAATAAAAATTGAAAATGTGTCTCAATCAAATTTCTTAAAAAGATGAGTGAACTGTCTGAGGGTTAAGTGTCTGCAAAATGGCCAAAGTTAAAATGTCTGAGGAGTGACGTGTCTGTACAATCTCATTGATAAAAATAGTGCTTCTAGGAGGAGGAATCGTTATTTAGAAAATTATTTCAGTCACCACAAAAGATATTTTGGCACATATTTTTCACATAAAAGTTACTTCCTAATGTTTTTACTTACATTTTTGCTCTATATTAAAATGTACTTTTACTATTTTCTATATAACTTGTCGTCTACTTTTTCTGCTTATTACTTTCATTCATAAAACCGTGTTTGGCTGTAAATCGGATTGGACAAATTAGGTCAAAGTAGTGCAATTATTACAATATTTTCTCGTTTATATGATATTC